CACATACAGACATATACATGTGTATATACATATATATGTGTGTATATGGTTGACCCTAATGTATATGTATATATATATATATATGTATGTATGTATGTGTATATGGTTGAGCATGGCCCCTAGAACCACACATTCTCCTTCTCTCAACCCCTTGGCCATGGACCTTAATGGCTCAGGATGTGGGGCTGGGAAGGTGGCTCAGTGGTAGCACGCTTGTTTGTATGCATGAGGTCCTGGGTTCGATTCCTCAGCACCACATAAGCAAAAAGAAAAAAGCCGGAAGTGGCACAGTGGCTCAAGTGGTAGAGCGCTAGCCTTGAGCTGAAGAGCTGAGGGACAGTGCCCAGGCCCAGAGTTCAGGCCCCACGACCGGACCAAAAAAAAGAAAAAGAAAGAAAGAAATGGCCCGGGATGTTAGGGTGTTTCATAGGAATAAACTATCTTGAAAGGAACTCAGCAAGACAAGGTTTACTTTTACATAGGGTGCACCACCAGCCAAAAATCTAGCAAGCTGCTCCCTTTTTATCCTGAACACAGCAGGCCCTGCTTCTCTGCTCCAATTGGCTAAGTTCATGTTTACAATCTACTCACAATTGGCTAGTTTGAAGAGAGTGGAATGTATTTACATAAAGTAACCATTAAAAGACTTTGAGAGCCGGGCGCTGGTGGCTCACGCCTGTAATCCTAGCTACTCAAGAGGCTGAGATCTGAGGATCGCGGTTCAAAGCCAGCCCGGGCAGGAGAGACCATGAGACTCCTATCTCCAATAAACCACCAGAAAACCGGAAGTGGCGCTGTAGCTCAAGTGGTAGAGCGCTCGCCTTGAACTGAAGAGCTGAGGGACAGCGCCCAGGCCCAGAGTTCAAGCCCCACGACCGACAAAAAAAAAAAAAAGACTTTGAGATAAAATTACACCCTCTGCTACTTTAATATGGGGTGTGTCTTAAATCCTCTTATTTCTGGAACAGCCAATTAAGACTAAAACCTTATTCTGAAGCATTTCCTCTTTACCTTTCTATACTTGCTGATATTGTCTTAGCAGAATAATCAACAATAGCCAAGCCACTAGGCCAAAGCAGGAACTTTTAAGCAGCCTACTTTGATAGAAAAGTTGATTTTTCTCACCTTACTGCTCTAGGACCTTGTGTGTCATGCTTTTTAATATTCAGTACCAAGTTCCATTTCTACCCTCCCAACCCTTCCAGCTCAGCCTCCATTTCTCCCTTTTGTCTTAGGCTGGCCAGGCTTGCCCACTGGCAACTGGCAACTACCCCCATCTCTATTCAGTTTCTGATGAATCTTGGCTGAATTTCCACTAACAGTCCTCTGGTATGTATGGATTGGATTTGATGTTTGGTGTCCCAAGTTTTTATGTAATTACAAAAATGGATACTATATTATCACAGAAAAAAAAATGTGGATACAACCCAAACCCCAGCTCTTCCCCTCACCATTTACCAAATGTATAACTTTGAAGATGTTATTTATTTAATGTTACTTGCCTTGCAAGCTTGTGAAGGATAATCTTTATAAAATGCTTGCCTGCCATAGACAAGCATTCTTTACATACTACCTAATTAAATTTGGGGGATGAGTCCACACCAACCAGTCTGGAATGAGTCTAGAGTTTATGTTTAATCGTGCAACCTATGTTCCCATCTCCCTTATCCCCCACTTTTTCTCCTATATGTATACTCTATTTCATTCACCTTGGTTGGACCATTCCCTGCATCACGATTCCTCTATATCTCAGTTTCTGGTAAGAATTGTGATACTTGATGGAGATGGACATGGTCACAGAGGTCAATTCTGAAACTTAGCTCCATAGATGGATCACAGGTAGAGGCAAACTTAAGAATTCCTCCCCATGGGGCTGGGAAGGTGGCTCAGTGGTAGAGCGCTTGCCTTGCATGCCTGAGGCCCTGGGTTCGATTCCCCAGCACCACATAAGCAAAAAGAAAAAAGCCGGAAGTGGCGCTATGGCTCAAGTGGTAGAGCGCTAGCCTTGAGCTGAAGAGCTGAGGGACATCACCCAGGCCCAGAGTTCAGGCCCCATGACTGGACACAAAAAAAAAAATTAAAAAAAAAAAAAAAGAATTCCTCCCCATCAAGCCTGCCACTCAAGCAGATGACAGGCTTGGGCTGGGAAGGAGGCTTAGTGGTAGAGTGCTTGCCTAGTATATATGAAGCCCTGGGTTCGAAACAGAAAAGTCTGGAAGTGGCTCAGGTGGTAGAGTGCTAGCCTTGAGCAAAAAGCAGCTGAGAGACAGTGCCCAGTCCCTGAGTTCAGGCCCCACGACTGGCAAAAAAAAAAAATGACAGGCTTCACATATAAAAACCAAAAATGACCTCATTTATCCCATCCTGTAAGGAAGGACTGAAGAAGAGCCGGGTGTGCACCCTGAGAGTCCACACCACACCAGGCTCTGCACAGAGATAACCACATGACAATATTTCAGCCTGGTTTCATGAGCCATTTCCCATCTCACCAGTTCTATATTCACTAATCCAGTTACAACTCACCTAGCTAAACTTTTTGTCTTATCCTTTTACTTGGGCTACTCTCTCTTTGGCCTAAGATGTCCTCCCACCTGTTTAGTCTTTTGTTTTTGGTTTAATCCCCTTTTAAACCCTCTTTAATCCCCTCATACTTAAAATCCCCTCATGTCTAACCAACTGATTTCCTCATTTATTATAAGGATCTGTCTCCTATCCTTCAATCCCAAATCTGGTATCCTCTAGTCCCATGGATGAGATTAGAAAATGTAGCAGCCTTGGCTATAAATGGCTGGGTAACAGGTTTATAGTCTAGAACCACAGGGGCAAAACACTTGGGGCATGAACTCTCTTTTTTGCTGCTTTTCCCAATAATCCTAGTAAATTGTGTCTGCTTGGATATCATGTATGATTGTGCGAGAAGTAGTGATTAATTTACCTGAAATCAGTACCTTCTATCTTCAGAGAATAATAATTAAGAGCATAATATTTAGAAGCCTGAATTTTTGAAGCCAAATATGTCTAAATCCTGCCTTAGCAATTTACTATATTTTGAACTGTGTGTGTCTATGTGGAGGTTTAACAAAAAATATATTAAGATTGTTGATCTTGTCAAGATGAAAATATCAGATTTATGGGGCTGGGACTGTAGCTCAGTGGTAGAGTGTTTATCTAGCATGCATGAAGCCCTGGGTTTGATTCCTCAATACCACATGAACAGAAAAAGCCAGAAGTGGCACTGTGACTCAATTGGTAGAGTACTAGCCTTGAGCAAAAGAAGCTCAGGGATGGGCTGGGAAGTTGGCTCAGTGGTATAGCGCTTGCCTTGCATGCCTGAGGCCTTGGGTTCGATTCCTCAGCACCACATAAGCAAAACGAAAAAAGCCGGAAGTGGCGCTGTGGCTCAAGCAGTAGAGTGCTAGCCTTGAGCTGAAGAGCTGAGGGACAGAGCTCAGGCCCAGAGTTCAGGCCCCACGACCGGACCCAAAAAGAAAAGAAAAGAAAAAAAAAAGAAGCTCAGGGACAGTGCCCACACCCTGAGTTCAAGCCCCAACAAGAAAAAAGAAACTATCAGATTTATTCACTCAGTTGTGGATACTAATCCCTGTGTCTCCAGCTGTTTGTATTCATGACTCCCTTTGAGCATCGATTCAGCTAGGCCAGTGTGGCCTAGCCCTGTTCTAGACCACAGAGACACAGGAAAATAAATCCTTGACTCTACCTATAAGGGTAGATAAATCTCTCCTCTGTGATTTGGGCCTTATTTTATATCCCAGATGGGGATTAAGGCCTGCTTAAATTTGTTCACAGATGAGGTCCCCACCTAAATGGAAATTCTGTCCTGAACCATGCCTAGATTTCAACTAACTTATGATGGAGGCTCTGTCCTTAATCAAACTGTAGGCCCCTCTGAGTACTGCTTTTGAATAGGGCTGAACTTTAGACCTGTTCTGTCTTTGACCTTCCTATAGTCCCCCAACTTTGATACCTGATCATTCTTGGTAGCTTATGAAGTTCCTCACTTTTCACAATTAGCATAAAAACCCTTGGCCTTCACAATAATCTTGTTAGGACAGCTTAGCAGGAATCACCTTATCCTTGAATTTCCCTCAGTAATTTTCTTTTCTTTTTTTTTTTTTCCAGTCATAGGGCCTGGACTCTGTCCCTCAGCTCTTCAGCTCAAGGCTAGCGCCCTACCACTTGAGCCACAGCACCACTTCCAGCTTTTTCTGCTTATGTGGTGCTGAGGAATTGAATCCAGGGCCTCATACATGCAAGGCAAGCGCTCTACCATTGAGCCACCTTTCCAGCCTCTTCCCTCAGTAATTTTTTTTTTTGGGGGGGTCCGGTTGTGGGGCCTGAATTCTTGACCTGGGTGCTGTCCCTCAGCTCTTCAGCTCAAGGCTAGCACTCTACCACTTGAGCCACAGCGCCACTTCCGGCTTTTTTCTTTTTGTTTATGTGGTGCTGAGGAATCGAGCATGCAAGGCAAGCGCTCTAACACTGAGCCACCTTCCCAGCCACCCCTCCACCCCCCAGTAATTTTCTATCTACTGACCTCATCCTTCCTCTTGGTTATAAACCTCTTCTTGTCTTAGATTTCCAGAAGTTAGGCTGTTTTATCTCCACCATTGGCCTCTATTACAATACTCTTGAATAAAGTCTTTCTTCCTATTTTAACAAGCATCAGAGAAAATCTGAACTATTGTCATGACCTTGGGAATACAGTTGTATTCTTCTTTCTCAATAATGCTTCATTCCCTCCTTGTTCTACGCTAGGAATCAGGCTCTCTTCTAGGCTTTTGATCTCTTCCTCAACAGCCCCTAGTGGGCAACAGTACCTAAAACTATAAGCCTGAGAGAATGTGCCAATTCTCTTCTAACCAACTTCACCTAGTTTATTCAGCAAGTGAGATAATCCAAATGTGAATACATTGAAATTGTTTCTCAACATAAATACATTTTCAAAGAGCTTCCTTATTTGTATTATAAGACTCTTTTGAGTGAAAAAACAACCATAATGGATACAGATCTTCAGTGTTCCAAATGATGCCATAAATAAATTTTCTGGCTTTTTGGTAAATAAAGAAATGTGTCAAATTTTATCTCCTGAGTTCCAAGTATGTTTTTGTTTGTTGCTGTTAGAAAGGCTTTATTGCAAAAGTCGCCTCACCTAGGACTCTGATGATTTTTCATGTTTTATTAATCTCTTTCATTGGGCTTCAAGTAAAGAAAGAATGACAATATTCAAAATTTACTGAATTTTGTATTAATGTCAGGCATAGAATTTTCCTCTTGAGCATTTCCCTTCATGGGGGCTGATACTGAGTTGTTTTGTAGGAAATGACGTGTCAACCATTCATTGGTTCTCATGGCTTTGCAGTGAAGGCAGGGCTTTTCCCTTATTTGGTAACTTCCCAGATTCCTTGGCCTCTGAGCTGTTTTTCTTCTTTTAATACTGGCTGGTGAAGGGTGGTGTTCACTTTCACTCTCCTTCCACGAGGAGGCCCCTGAATAAGATTCTTCACTGTCACATTCAGTAGTATCACTGTCATGTTGGATCTGATTCACTTGGTGGAACTGAGCATGGCGCTTGGCTCTTCTTTGTTCAAGATAGGCACTTACCAAGGCCACTTCTGAGTCAGTTACAGGGGAAAGTTGGCTCTGCTTTGATTTCTTCATCATTTGTGAAGAATCCCAGAAATCATCTTTATTTTGCCTCTTATAGGAAGATTCTTTGCTTGCTAACCAACAAAACAAATCAATAAGTTAGGCATATTATTGGTTATTATAACTTCACATTATACAGGGAGACCTACAGCATATGTGAGATCACTGTGGAGTGGCCAGTTGTCAAGTCACTGTGATTCTCCAGTGGTTTACAAATACTGGCAACTGATTGCATTCTACCATCTCCTAAAGACCAAGGAGGTCACACAGATGCTTGACATAGATATTACTTTTGAAGTTTTATAGACTCTAGAATATAAGTATAAAGGAAAAGGTCTGCAGGGCTAGGAAGGTGGCTCAGCGGTAGAGTGCTTGCCTTGCATGCATAAGGCCCTGGATTGGATTCTTCAGCATCACATAAACAGAAAAGGGTGGAAATGGCACTGGTGCTCAAGTGGTAGAGCGCTCACCTTGAGCTGAAGAGCTCAAGGACAGTGCCCAGGCCTAGAGTTCAAGCCCCACCACTGATTAAAAAAAAAAAAAAAAAAGGGGGAAAGGTCTCCAAACTTTTCCAAAGATACTTAAGTCTTTTGTCCTGATGTTTCAGAAATTCAAGGGTATATCTGAATATAATTTGAGTAGCAAGAACCATAATGGATCCTTTAATGGTGTGTTGGCTTATACCAATTAACAAAAGCTACTACATTTTCAAGAATTGTAAGATGGGTAGACATTTTTTGTTATTACTAAAAATTACCCAAACTTACAATTAAGTCAATCTACTTTAAAAGGTAATAATTACCCATTACCTTCTCATTATCATTTACAGTTTATTAAACTGTATGATCTTGAAGCTGTGTATGTCTGTTGTATATGGATTTTGGAAATACTCTGCAAGGAAGTACTATTGCACATCTCTCCCCAACTCCATGCTTAATGACAGCATGTGGATAGCTTGAAACTAGTTTGGGTAAGAGTATCCATAGCATGAAAATGAGCAAACTCTAGAAAGCAAGGCTTGACATATGGTTTTGATGACTGTCTAAGCTTAACAAAGTAATAGAGAACATCTTAATAATGCAGACAGTGTCATGCCTACAACCACTACATCGTAAATAGTGCCCTGAAATGAAGAAGTATTCTCTTTTCCAATATTCTATAACTATTGTCCAAAAAGGCAAAAAAGGCAGTCACATCACTGACAACCAAGTTAAGTTCCAAAATATATCATTTGGTTTTTTTTTTCATCTTGTTAACTCTGAGTGAAATACTATTCATTCTGCCGGGCGCCGGTGGCTCATGCCTGTAATCCTAGCTACTCAGGAGGCTGAGATTTGAGGATCAAGGTTCAAAGCCAGCCCGGGCAGGAAAGTTCATGAGACTCTTATCTCCAATAAACTGCTAGAAAACCGGAAGTGGTGCTGTGGCTCAAGTGGCAGAGCGCTCGCTTTGAGCTGAAGAGCACAAGGACAGCGCCCAAGCCCAGAGTTCAAGCCCCACGACCGACAAAAATATTAATAATAATAATAATATTCATTCTGAAACTATACTTTTTCATCATTTGTACCATGGGATGGCTCATTGATATGCAAGGACCTAGCAAAAACCAAGGAGAGCATTTCATGTGAATTAGATGTCTATACAAAATTTACCGTAGAATTTGATATATTTTCTTATTTATAAGTTGTATAGTATGCATCCTATACATCAGAAAAATTAGTGAACATATGTATGCATACAAATATGCTCATTTTATGGGCTGGGAAGATGGCTCAGTGGTAGAGCGCTTGCCTTACATGCCTGAGGCCCTGGGTTCAATTCCTCAGCACCACATAAGCAAAAAGAAAAAAGCTGGAAGTGGCGCTGTGGCTCAAGTGGTAGAGCACTAGCCTTGAGCTGAAGAGCTGAGGGACAGCGCCCCGGCCCAGAGTTCAGGCCCCACAACTGGACCCCCCCCCCAAAAAAAAAAAAAGAAAAAAAAAAGACAGATATGCTCATTTTGGAAAGCCATTCAACAATATACCACTCCTTCTAGTTATTGAAAAAGAAATCAGCTGCAGTTCATTTTCCTATCATAGCACTAGCAATGAAAATACAGGAAGGTACACAAGGTCTGTGAAAGGAAAGTGCTGAGGAATGACAAGAGCCTGAACTCTACCTACCCACAGAGTTCACAGCTTCTGATGGTTCTGATAAGGCAGCTAAGTTGCCCTTCTGCAGTAGGAAGAAAAGCAAGGAGTTCACCCAGTGAAGCTGGAGAGGCCTTACAATGCCCTTTGTTTTCTACACTTAGCACATAATTCTCTCATCATATCCATAATAAAGTATGCACTGGCTCTCACCTTTACTTAGTGAAGCACTTGTTCCACTATCTTCATCCTTTTTATTCTCAGACATCTGTTTCAGAAATATCAATAATTAAAGATGATTTCAGTTAGTTGTTTTTCACTAGTATTTACTTAAGAAGCACTATGGCTTGAGGCCCTTTAATAATAATTAATGTTAAACATTCAGCACAGTTAAATAAGTACTTATTGTGATCTTGTTGCTGTAATCCTACTTTTGCTGCCAGGTCAGAAGGCTTTGATAGCAGATCTACCAAAATGTTTTAAAACAAGTAAAATGGAAGAGAGAGATTGGAAATAAAATAATATCAAAGAGCTATATAGGTTGTAAGGTTGTCCTTTACCTACTTATTTTACAGAGAAATTTTGTTTAAGAACAAATTTGATAATACTTAATTTTTTAAGCCAGGAGTGATAGTTTATGCCTATAAACCCAGCACCCAGAAGTCTGAAGCAGGAGGCCTGAGAGTTCAAAGCCAGTCTGTAATAGTTGGTGGTACTATGGGTTGAACTCTGGGCCTTTGTACTTGCCAGGAATGTGCTCTAGCACTTGAGCCATGCCTCTAACTGCTATTTTCCTTGGTGTTTTTTGAGATAAGGTCTTGCTTTATGCCTATGCCAGCCTGGGCTATAATTCTCCTACTTGTGCTTGCCAGGGTCTGGGGATGACAGGCATGTGTATAACTACACCCAGCCTGTGTCTTCTGTAGCTGGGATAACAGGCCTCCACCACCACACCCAGCCACTGGTCAAGCTGGAGTTTCTCAAACGTTTATGCTTAGGCTGGCCTCAAATGGTGATCCCCAGATCACTGCCTTCCAAGGAGCTAAGATTATAGGCTTGAGCCAGTATGCCAAGGAAGTTCTTTAAATGTCTAATATGAGACACAATATAACAAGATTCTTTACTTGAATTTGTGGACTTAATATTTCCTTAATCTTTCACAGAGTTTTCTCTAAAACACAATCATAATATATTATGTGTGTATATGGCAGTCAGAAGAAATGAATTTCTTCAAATAGTACCAATTCTAAATATTCTGCCCCAATACTCCACAAATATATTTGCCCATTTTTCACATTAGTGTCTCACTTTCTGAGGCCAAAAGTGATTTTGCCAGATGATGCAAGTATAAAGCAACTATTTCAGAATGAACCAAATATTAAGAACTATTCATTACACCTTGGGGTTTTCTTGTTTTGTTTTTGAGACCAAAGTCTCTCTGTGTTGCCTCGGCTCACTCTCAGCCCTTCTGAGTGCTGGGATTATAGTACTGTGCCATCAGACCTGTTCACATATTGATATAGAATTCTTTCCTAGAGAATCTATCACCAGGAAATAACCCCCCAAAGGAAAAAAAAACTGTTCACAGATATATTCACCACACACTATTGAGATAATATAAACTTCAAAATTCAAAAGTAGACAATGGTTAATTAAATTATGAGAGAATCATATAAAATTCATTGTAAAATCATGATTAAAGTATGGCATAGCACAAGGAAATATATTACAATTTTGGCAAAAAGGATACAAATCCATGTGTAATGGTCAATTACAAGTTAGATGTCATGAAAAGAAAAAAAGGCTTATAGGAATATTTATATAAATGGTAGTAATAGTAGGCTTCAACTGGTGAAATGGATATTTTTCCTTCTATTTTTTCAAATTGTCTCATCTAGGGAAAAAATTGAAGTCAAACTACATTTGGGTTGAAAAGTGCCACACTTACATGTTTGTAACTGCAATTAAGGGATGTTTATAACTGCAATTAAGAATCTCCTTCCCTTTAAAAAAATTATCTCTAACAAGGCAATTTGTTAGCTTTCTGGGTTACAATAATTCTGTGAAAATCTTGAAAGAAAAATCCTTTTTAAGATAGCTTTAAAATAATACTTCAGTACTCCATAAATATTTTAAACTTAATATATAGAGACAATTATTAAAAATATTATGAGACTTAAATATTATAAGCCTAAAAATTAATAGTAGTAGTTGGCTATATTGACATAAGCTAGAGTGATCTGTATTTCCCTTGTTTGGTTTGGTTTGGTTTTTTGGTCAGTCATGGGGCTTGAACTCTGGGCCTGGGTGCTGTCCCTCAGCTCTCCAGATCAAGACTAGTGCTCTACCACTTGAGCCACAGCACCACTTCTGGTTTTCTGGTGGTTTATTGGAGATAAGAGTCTCATGGACTTTCCTGCCAGGGCTGGCTTTGAACCACAATCCTCAGATCTTAGCCTCCTGAGTAGCTAGGATTCAGGAGTGAGCTACCAGCACCGGGCTTTCACTTTTTTGTCCGCTTTGCTATAGCTCCTCATTTTATATGTGTACAGTGGAAGGGAAGGGTGTTTAAAAACACATTATATTTATGTCATTTCCATAGAAAGTGTTCACATTTCATGGCAAATCAAAATATAGCCACAAAATCAAAAGAAAGATTCTGCATCAAGCTAATTGGAATCATATGAACTGTGGTTATGAAAAGCATTTTATTAACTGTCTTTGTCTGTGACTTAGTGAGTGAAAACAGCAGGGTGCCTGCCCTGAGGGGAGGGGAGAAATGTGGGTGATGTTCTGTCTTTCTGCCACTCATCAACTTTGTGATCTTACCAACCCATTTAACAAGGTCTCCTAAGCTCAGTTTCCACATATACAAAATAATTTGAAACTAACACTGGCCAGAAAAATACCAGCACTAGCAATCTGAATAAACACTGAACAAATATATAAACTAAACAATATTTGGCCTCTGAAGGCATCTGAACGAGTAGCAAATCCAGAGGAAATCCAGCAAGAGTCATGTTGGGGGATAATTACCACCACATTGCCATCACGCTTTTGCCATTACTTCAAGGTTTGTAAATGAAGGCCCATAGTTTAGCAAAGAAAATGAGGAAGTTCAAAGTGAAGGGAAAAATTCCATCCTCTCTAACTAGCTCTCATATGGTTCTCAGATTTCAAATCTGGGACCCTTCAGAAGAAGCAGTCCAGCCAATTGGAGCTGCCACAAGGGTACAAAGGGAAAGATGAAACCTCTAAGATAATTAAGGTTTTAATCAGCACTGAGTAGATTTAATTCAACAGTTTAAACTATGCTTTGAAGTAAACAAATAATATGACAGGAAATCTGGGTCTTTTCTGGTTCTATCACTCTGTCACTAACCACTTATATGACATTGGACAAGTCACTTAATTTCCTTGAGCGCTGGCAATTAAAAAAATATATAGCAGGGTAGGTATCTTACTTGTCTACCAACAGGAGGCTGAACCACATCACATGTTTTCATGAGGTCCTTGATTTTCCAGGCTCTATGAATCCAAAGAGCCAATACAAGGGAGCAGAGGAATAGCTTAGACCTCTTAAGTGATCTTGATGAAATTGCCAATGATCAATTTCAATTTTTTGTTAATTTTCTAAAGTAGCTTTTCTTGCCAGACCAAATTTAATATACTTAGCTAGCTAATCTATCACTACTTTAATTCCCCTTTTGGCAATGTATTTACTTTAAGAAGCAGTTAGAGTTTAGCGGAAACTTCTTGGCCAGGAGGTGGTAAGGGGGAAGAATCTTTGATTATTATAATAGAATCCAGCTGGCTCTTTAACCAGAGCTGATAGAGCATTCCATCTAGCTTGACCATTGCCCAGGCAGGACCGTGGCTGTAGTTTAAATCTTGGTGGCTTGATGAATCATACTAATAGCCAGTAAAAATTCAACATCGCAACTTAGAAGACTTGGTTGCTCATATGTTCAAGCACAACACAAATAAGGTGAGCTAAACCATTCCTATGAAAAGGACATTTTCTTCTAATAGTTACCCAAAATGCTGACTTTAGTTCTGTTGAGTCTATTCAGAAATACATTATTCTATTGTCTCATTCTAAAATACCCTAAATCCTACAGCATGTATCCTATGAATGTGAGAAACTTTTGTAACTTTGATTAGAAGTACATGGCTATGAGAGGAATTTGGAAGTCATTAACCAGTAGGAAAACTTATTTCAGCATTACATAGCATATGGTCAAATTGCAAACAATCTAAATGTCTCAAAATTACAGAACTTTTATGGCGCAACCACAAGACAGAAAGTGCAATCAAAAGTGCTACTGAATGAATATAACTATTTACAATATATTATGTTTAAAAGGCAGGATATGAAAGCACATACAATATAATGCCAATTGTGTAAGAGCAAAAAGAGAGATATACTAGGACAAAAAGAGAAAAATAACCTAGGATGTTCTCAGAAATGTTATCTCCGTGAAATAAGATTAAATATTCTTTATCCTTTTTGATATTTTTGGATTCTCTGGAATGAAGTGGCATTATTCTCATAACTGAAAAACTTTTATAAAAGTACTTTTCATGAGAGTAAATTTATGAAAAAGTCCCCTAATATAACACTAAAGATATTATTTAAAATGAAAAAGGATATCCTACCCAGACAGAAAACCGAGAGAAGATCATCAAAACCATTATAATGACAAAATACCAAAGCAGGAAGCTCCCTATTGTCCCACAAGAGTCATCCTTCTGGCATTCATGATCCTGATTTGGAATGGAAAAACTTAAAGGTATGGGAGGAGGATCTACCTCCCAAAATAAAGAAAAAAGGTCTCCCATGGTGGCTTCTTGCTTAGAAAGTAAAACATGCTCAAATGGATGGAGGTGACCTATGACCCATGACAACTTCCCTGGCAACCTATTATGACATACATAAGTAACTATTACAGAACTAGATGTTTCTTAACTTTCTAAGATTTTATAAGGTTTATCCAAATTACTTGGACAAAAGTTTATGGTTCTTCTCCTCTGCCCATCCCCTAAAAAAAAAAACTCAATAGAATTCTCTCTGCCTTAATCTTTTCTACCCTGAAATTTGTATATATTGTATTATATCTTTAAATCTAATTAAATCATTTTTAATTAGCCTTTATGTATCACACCATTGTAGATTAACATACATAAGTCTAATGTGTTAAATACTGAATTGTATTCCTCAAAATTCAAATGCTGAAGTCCTCATCAACTTGGCTATAATTTGGAGGTAGGGCCTTCAAAGAAGTCATGAAAGTTCAAGTCATAAAAATGAAGTTCTAATCCATGTAACTGGTGTCCTCATAAGAAGAGGAAAAGAGGCTTGGTGCTGGTGACACACCTATAATCCTAGCTACCCAGGAGGTTGAGATCTGAGGACTGTATGCAAAGCCAACCTGAGCAGAAAAGTCCATGAGACTCATCTCCAATTAGCCATCAAAAAGCTGGAATTGGGGGGCTGGGAAGGTGGCTCAGTGGTAGAGAGCTTGTCTTGCATGCATGAGGCCCTGGGTTCAATTCCTCAGCACCACATAAGCAAAAAGAAAAAAGCCGGAAGTGGCGCTGTGGCTCAAGTGGTAGAGTGCTAGCCTTGAGCTGAAGAGCTAAGGGACAGCGGCCAGGCCCAGAGTTCAGGCCCCACGACCGGACCCAAAAAAAAAAAAAAAAAAAAGAAAAGAAAAAGCTGGAATTGGACTTGTGGCTCAAATGGTAAAGCATCAGCTTGGAGTAAAAATGCTCAGGGCATGCCCTGAGTTCAAGTTCAAGCCTAGTACTGGCACACATACAAAAATAAAATAAAATATTTAAAAGAGAAGGGAGGAAGAAAAAGGAGGAGGAGGAGGAAGAGAAGGAGGAAGAGGAGAGGAGGAAGAGGAAGACCAAGAAGGAGAAAGAGAAGAAGAAAGAAAAAGAGGAGGAGGAGGAAGAAGAGAACGAGGAGGAGGAGGAAAAAGAAGAGGCTGGGAAGGTTGTTCAGTGGTAGAGTGCTTGCCTTGCATTCATGAGTCCCTGGGCTCGATTCCTCAGCACTACATAAGCAGAAAAAGAAGTGGTGCTGTGGCTCAAGTGGTAGAGCACTAGCCTTGAGCTGAAGAGCTGAGGGACAGTGCTCAGGCCCGAAGTTCAGGACAAAAGAAAAAAGAAGAGGAGGAGGATAGCGGGAAGCTACAGAAGACAAGATGAGGTTCTCTGCACACCAAGGGGACAAGTCTCAGGAAAATGAACTTTGACACCTTAGTGTTGAGCTTCCAGTCTTTAAACTGTGAGAGAGAGAAAAAAAAAAGATCTTTTTTAAACTGTGATTTTTTTTTTAAAGGGAGAGGATACAACAAATTAGTTTCAATATTTTATGGTAGTCCTAATGCATAAAATTTAGATGGTAGTGTACTTTTTAAAATCTTGGGTGCACAACAGCTTTTAGATCAAGAGTAAGAAATAGCCAGGTGCCAGTGGCTCACAACTGTAATCCTAGCTACTCAGGAGGCTAAGAGCTGAGGATTATGGTTCAAAGCCAACCAGGGCAAGTAAGTCTGTGAGACTCTTATCTCCAATAAATCACCAGAAAACCAGTGGCGCTGTGACTCAAGTGGTAGAGTGCTAGCCTTGAGCTGAAGAGCTGAGGGACAGTGCCCAGGTACAGAGTTCAAGCCTCACAACCAAAAAACAAACAAAAAAAAAGTATCATCTGTATGTTTACAACTAGAACTAAACATTATTGTTAAGGCAATCTAAAAATGATTTTTTAAAGACTCACTTAAAATCAGCTAGGTAGTAGAGCATAGGGCAGCTTATGCCTATAATTCTAGCTATTCAGGAGGTTAAGATCTGAAGAGCATAGTTTGAAGCCAGCCTAGGAAAGTCTTTAATGGTTATCTCCAATTAACCATCAAAAAGCTGGAAGTGAACTGTGGTTCAAGTGGTAGAGTGCTAGTCTTTTTATTTGTATTGTTTTGTTTTGTTTTTTGTTTTTGGGGTCCAGTCGTGTGGCCTAAACTCTGGGTCTGGATGCTGTCCCTCAGCTCTTCAGCTCAAGGCTAGCGTTCTACCACTTGAACCACAGTGCCACTTCCAGCTTTTTTCTTTTTGCTTATGTGGTGCTGAGGAATCGAACCCAGGGCCTCAAGCATGCCACTGAGCCACCTTCCCAGCCCTAGAATGCTAGTCTTGAGCAAAAAAAGCTCAGGGACAACACCCAGGTTCTGAGTTCAAACTATACACAGACACACAGACACACACACACACACACACACACACACACACACACACACACACACACACACAAAACGGCTAAATCTTTTTTTTTTTTTTTAAATAGGTATGGGGTTTGAACTCTGGGCTTAGGCGCTGTCCCTCAGCTCTTCAGCTCAATGCTGCTAACGCTCTACCACTTGAGCCACAGCTGCCACTTCCGGTTTTCTGGTGGTTTACTGGGGATAAGAGTCTCATGGACTTTCCTGCCTGGGCTGGCTTTGAACCGTGATCCTCAGATCTCAGCCTCTTGAGTAGCTAGGATTCCAGGAGTGAGCCACTAGCGCCTGCCCACAGCTAAGTCTTTAAAAGCATAGAATGCCTACTGATTTTCATATGCAATACCACAAATAAACTTCATTTTCTTCCATTTAACCTTGGAATCATTTTAGGAAAAATTTTAGTCATTGTATGTATATGAACTATCTACTAGCTTATTGTGTCATGACTTATTCTTGTTTTTGTTTTTAATGGGCACACTTATTTGTATGCAGAATGAGTGCCCTGGGCCAAGAGTCAGACCTGTTGTTACTACTCTCAAGAAGGTATGAGCCACCTCCAGTAGCTTTGTGCCCACCTTATTTGCCTCTCCTTGTCACTTTGGCATCCACACAGGCTGATCTCCCAGGACCACAACTCTAGTTTTTCATCTTAACTCCTGGCTCAATGGCACCCCATAGGTGTTTGTCTTTGTTAAATAAAACCAAAGTCAGACAGGCTGCTGACAGCTCACGCCTGTAAACGCTACTCAGAAGGCTGAGATCTGAGGATCACAGTTGGAAGCCAGTTAGGGCAGGAAAGCCTTGTAAGACTCTTATCTCCAAATAACCACTCAGAAAAGGCCGGAAGTGGTGCGCTGTGGTTCAGGTGGTAGAATGCTAGCCTTAAGCAAAAAAAGCAGCTCAGGGACGGTGCCCAGGCCAAGGTACAAACCTCAGGATAGGCAAAAAAAAGAAAGGAAAACAAACAAGCAGGCCCACTACTCCCTTTTTCACAGAATTGGAAAATTTCACCAAGATTTCGCGTGGGGGGTTTAAAACCTCAAACCCCCAAATTAGATATTGAGCTCTGTCGTTACTGTTGCACCTTACTGACATAGACATTTAACAACTTGCTCTGGACAGAACCAACGGAGGAAAATATATGTTAGCAAGGAGGAAAGGAATGCTTTGTCCTGGCTGATGGGATCTGAGCACACCACGCAAGCTGTACCCCACAAAGTGAGTGCATTAGAGACTCTAAAGGAAGGTAAAACGCTATGAGTATGTGCAAAATGCAACTTTGTCACCGTCATTACTTCTCTCACTGCGGGTTCAGAACGTGGTCTGAATTTTGCGGTTCAGCTTTCACTCCACAGCAGACCGAGCGGGAGCCACAGAGCCGAGGGCGTTTCCTTGGTAACGATCGCAGCCTGGACTCTCAGCCCTCCTCCCCTCCCCGTTCTCGCGAGAAAAGACAGCCCGGTTCTTCCGGTAACTGTACACCCCCTAACCCGCCGCTTTAGCGCTTAGCTTTGCGCATGTGCAATAGAGAGTGGCGCGAGCCCGCGGTTTCCGGCTGGAGAACATGGTGCGTTTGGGGGGGGTGGAAGGGGGGCGTTGTTTCTTCCTGGACGTGGAGTCTACCTGGACTTTTGAGTTTCGCGCTTACTGATCTGCCCGAGGTTCAGCCAGAGGAGAACGTGGCTAGGCGTCCTACCACTCGCAGTGGGAAGGAGGAAGGGAGCAGTGGGGGTGACAAAGTTCGTGCTGAGGGCAGTGCTGACCCGGGCAGGATGGCGGGAAGAGGCCGACTCAGCTCGGTGGGCCAGGGCCCCCTAAATGGCGGGAGCCGATCTTCCACTTGTCAGTAATCGCAGTGTCTGCTGAGTTAAGCAAACATTCCAGTGTGCCAGAACTGTGAGGGCACGCTTTCCACGCCCTGGAACCTTCGCGCCTCCTACATAAATCTTTACCCACCACGGGGACCCTTGGCTTCAAACAGCTCAGGTGCAAGGTTGTTTAGGGTGTGACACTTGTAAGGGCTTCTGTTTACGGATGAAGAGTCCTAAGGAATTACAAGACACAGGATATTTCCTCCCAAAACTTGGTATTTGGAGGTTTTTTTTTTTAAAAAAAACCTCGGTCCTTGTAACATAAGCTGAAAACAAAACGTGAAGTATCTACACATAATAACCAACACTTAAATTACAAAGTAAGACACCTTCATTTATTAGAAGTATTGTTCTGTGAAATAACCAGTTATGTCTTGAATTCTCTATAGTGCCAAAGGAAGTAAGAGTTTAGTTCCCCTTTCATATACTGATGTTCAAATGGGGGAGTCAAGGGGGATGGTGAGACCTTTTAAAGGCAAGGGACCATGTGTGCAGTTTTTACTTGATAAAGGATGCAATTTCTTTTTTATTAGGAGTAGTTTTGGTTAATTCCTGTTATTTTTTTGCATTTGAATAGATGCAAGGAGAGGGGAGCCCTAGTGCTTCCCTTATTGACAGGACCATCAAGATGAGAAAAGAAACAGAAGCTAGGAAAGTGGTTTTGGCATGGGGACTCCTAAATGTA